ACTATCAACAAACAGAGAATACAGAAAATGTATGTAAATGAGAAAAAAGATATTTTTATAACAAAGTAAAGTTGATCGGAACATAGAATCTAGAAAAAGATAGAGAGAATTGCTGCCAACCGTATCCTTACTGCCAAGCATTCTCTGTGCTTCGCGATAGCTGACATTGTGAAATTGTGGGTGCACAATTTGACGATGAGTAAAATTAGATTCAGCCTGCAAAAACTATATCAGCCATCCTACGGTAACGATTTATCAAACATTCCACCTTTTGAATTTTTGCGCCTCGATCTTTTTCCAAATCCTCTTTTTCAGCTTCACTATCCCAGTAATGATCATGCTCGGCTATTGGTTCCTTATTTAGATCCGATGAACGACATGACAAAAGACAGGAGAACTTTTCAGGCTCTATCTTGATGATGCGGCAATATATTGGCTGATTCATCTAAACTGCACTGTTTTAAAGGAACGTATTAGATGATATGCTTGACGTAACTAACCTTCACTCTTTCCAAAGGATTCTTAAATGACTCAGGTTTATCAGATATCATCTTATTTGGAATAAATCCACTTATACCATTGTCAAGCCTTACGCGAATGCCAACAGGAATACCAGGACAACCACCTTTGCGAGAATCCTAGAAAAAAAAAGAGATGGTGAAGCCAATCAAAAATAGAAACTTACTCTGATCTGCAGGTGCTCGTAGAGCTTATTGGAAATGATGGGCATTCTGCAGAATGAGCATTCCCAATAATCTGACTCTTGTATACGTTGCTGAATGCAAGAGGATAGTCTTATGAATGAGCAATTTATGTTGATAACAGGTATCAAAGTCCCTGATAGCTGTTACGACTTGATATTAGGCTTACCATGTGCTCGTGTCCAGAGATGTACGCTTGTCTCTGATCCTCGGGGATCTTCTTGAATTGAACTCCAGTCACTACCCCACACACTCTTTTCTCTTCCTCCAAAGAAGCTTTTGACTCTTTTGTCAACAACGTGAACAATTCCTGCAGAAATTATTGATAAAAGATCTACCTACTATTAACGACAAACTTGATCAAACCTGATCGCTCAAAGGAATAAAAGGCCTCCGTTGATCTTTGTACCTATGATTCAATTCAGCAGAGATATCATACAGTGTAGCTTTCTTCTCACCGAAACCCTGTAAGTACAGCAATTTATTTCATTAGCATAGGAAAGTAGATTTTATTAGGTTGTCGGATAAGTTTGTGGTGTTTTCTAATCAAAAATGTTCTAAGAAACCAGATGTTTTGGCAACACAATTTAATTCAATCGAAAGTAGAAGTCTCCCTCTACCAAGGGTTTCTTTGAAGTAGAAGTGATTGGAAATGTATTTTCGCAGGGCAGAAAAAACTCAACCAGCGAAGAACTACCTTATGGAACAATTGGATACGCCTATTACGGAGATCATATCTGTTCCCCATGGTGCTCATTACTGTAGGATTACGGCAGATATATGATAAGGTGATCAAAATTACGAATTTGTCTGAAAAGTGGACAGTGGGGTTATCTAACATGCTGATTGCAAAAATCATACCCACATGTAAGCTCTTACCGTAGGGTTAGAATGATATAGTATGGAAAAGACAACATCACTGATCTGTTCGAAAAGGCAAAAATGAATAACATGCCGTAATCAGCGTAGCCATTACTCACTTAAGTCGTTATTATGAACTTAGCTCA